TCTCTCTCTCTCTCTCTTCATTCCTTCTCTTCTCCTTTTTTTTTATCCGATATTATCCTTCTCCCCTTTGTCCTTTTCTTCAATCGTCCACCTCCAGGATTATTCCGCGGCCTTTAAACGCTCGTTTTCCACTCGACGCGACGACGACACCTTCCATTCAGGATGAAGGGAAGCAGCGGGGTTATCGTTTTCTTATTAGAACCCTTCCCCTCCTCGCGGTGGATTCCATTCATCGACGATGGAATTTCTCGTAATTCTCTTTGTATCGTGAACAGGTGGGTGAATCCTTCGTTTCCAGTGTTTTCTAATCGCTGCGTTTCATTCTTCTCCGTTGTTCCATTCTCGCGTTGCGCCGCCTATCTCGTGTCTTTGTTTCCCGCGAACGTGTCGTTTCGTTCTTTATCTTCTCTCTCTCTCTCTCTCTCTCTCGTCGCGAATTGTAAAAGGCGAATCGAGAATACATTTTTTCTTTTTTTTTTTTTTAGAAAGTATTATTAATTTCGAAGATTTCGTAGATTCTTGAATTTCGTTCCAACAGTGGTTCGAAATTTATTAAATGGACAAAATTTTGTAATTTTCGAATGCACGAGAAATGAATAATGTTTCGATGTAATAACAATTACACGTTAAAACGATAATTGATCGATAACTATCACGTTTCAATAATTGAGAAATATTGTGTAAATTTATTATTACGAAGCGTTTAAATTTCGTTATAAATATTTTTAATTTAAATCGTTATAAATTATTTTTTTTGTTTGTAAATTAATTTTAAACTTAAAGCAACGATTTCAGTCAGTAATTTTTTTTTATATGTTCCACAACATTCCATTCCAATAAGAATAGAATATACGAAAAGTAAAAATTTTCTATTCGTTTTTACCGCCATATTTGATTTGCAAAACTTTGCAAAATTATATTCATATTAACTTTAATTGACAATTTTTTCATTCCTTCTAATCTTCGAAGATTAATATGCAATATGTCTTTTTACAGTGCTTTATTCATTTTATAAGTTTCGTTATTTTCATCGTTATTTCGTTAAATTATCATATCTGGTCAATATTGGATAATTTATAGAATTGTCGAAGATATCTTGTAGCCACAATTTCTTTCTTTAATAAATATTTTTTCCTCAAAAATATTCTTTAGAATATCATTTCCAGTTCTCAAAATCCACTTCATCGTACATTTGTCAAATTCGAAGCGCTGTCTAAATTAATCTCTCTATCGTAAGAATTCTTATAACGAGTAGAAAAAAATATACATACCTGTTAATCTACTTAAAAATGAGTCATGAAATAAATAATAACAGCATTCCAACACCATTCTTATTTTTTTAGAAGTATCCTATTTTGCAAGAACACCCCTTTGAAATTTAAGTTTAATTAAATTTCCTCGATTGGAAACGGAATATAATAAAATAAAAATTAATTGCCGTGCAATTTTGCACGGTTCACAAATACTTTTATATTTTTTATATATTATCAATTAAATACCACGTTAATTCCTTTTACATTAAACACATTTTTAACTTACACAATAAAAATATAGTTCCCTAAAAATTAAATAAAGTCAAAATCAGAAAAAAAAAATAATTAAAATCTCTCCTATTATATTACCACCGTTGCAGCGAAAGAGAAATAGACGGGTATGGTAACTAAGGAGAGTTCCCTTTGCGTGGCGATCTCTTCGATCCCCCGTATCAATTTCTCGTCAAATCGGGCGAGGCGACGTGCAAGGTAAACGATAATCCAGGCGTTGGTGTCTGATGAGAGAGAGAGAGAGAGAGGAAGAGCGAGGTAGGAAGCCGCCGTCTCTTTCCCCCTCCCCCTCCTCCGACAAACTCTCTCTCGCTCGATCGCCCTCGTTAAAAACCGATCCAATTTGTCTTATGGCCGAGGACAAAGTGCATCCGGACGACGCTATGCGACTGTCGAAACTTCCCTCTGGAACGAATCAACGTTCCCCCCTCCCCCCTCCTCCTCCCCCGTCTTTCTCGTTGATCGACCACGGGTCGTCTCTTATCATCGAAACTTGTCACCAAACTTTCCCCGCCCGATCAGAACACGAAGCCGATAATTGACCGGTCGAGATCCGCATCCGATCTCGTTCGAGGAAAAAAAAAAAAGGAGAGGAAACGAGAGGCTCGAGAACTCCTTCCTTATAAAAGATAAAAGATCTCATCGATACACGTCTTTCAAATAATAATAACATTTCTCGAGATTATAATGAGACGTTATATGCGGCGCGGCACGGTGACGCGTGCAGTAGCATTGTCGAAGAAATCTCCTATCCTCTCGATACATCGTCATAATACGCCGCCTCGCGGAGGTCGATCTTCGAAGTGCTTAAAAGGTTATCTGACTCTCTCGGTCGAGTGCACTCGTGTCGGCCTGTATTGAGTTTCAAGACTTGGAACTTGGAGAGCGAGCAAACTCCTCCTCCTCCTCCTCCTCTTCCTCTTCCTCTTCTGACACTACTGTATGACGAATTGCAAAAGTTTAGGGAAAAATTGGCGGTGGGTAGATAAGACGGTATGGTACGACGTGATATATATATATATATATATATATATATATATATATATATATATATATATATATATATATGTATGTATGTATATGTATATATATGTGTGTGTATGTATATATTCATTTCGTAAGTTCTCAAGTTACGCGATGTTTTGATGTTTTTTTGATGTGTATATGTGTGTATATGTATATATTCATTTCGTAAGTTCTCAAGTTACGCGATGTTTTGATGTTTTTTGCAGCTACGACGCGAGGAATCGACAGTTCGGCAAGGCGAAGCTGTGGAGCGCCTCCCACTTTTGGGGGGAGAGGGCAACGTTCAAAGCCAGTCAACCAGCCCAGCTGACGATTCGAGACCTGCGGGAAACCGACCAAGGTGTTTACAGATGCAGAGTCGATTTTCGCAACTCGCCGACCAGGAACCTCAAGGTCAACTTCACCGTCATCGGTGAGTCTTGGAAACTCCCCCCGTTAAAAGTTTAAACTTTCGAGGGAGAGGGGGAAGGGTTGAAACGATGCGACTATTTTAAAATTTAAAAGCATCGGCAAACCCGAGTTTTCCCCAACCAAGTTTGCCCAAAAACTATCCCGCTACTCCTATCCTCTCCACACCTCATCCTTTCTACTCGGAAACTTGTCACTACTTGGAAATTCCGATACTCGGATCGGAAGCTCGGAAACGGCTTGGAACGTCTCCGACGATTCGTTCGAAGCTTTATTATACTTTGTTACACTCGACCAAGGTTAATCAACTTTCGACTATTTTCGATTCCATCGATCGATAATTTTTCCAAATTTTAAAAAAACAATATTTCCAACAATATTTCCATGGAACGCTTTTAGAATCGTCGAATATCTATGTGGATTCTCTCGCGAAGTTCTCGCGAATAATTTATTCGTCTCGTCCTTTTTCCGGTGAGAAAAATTTCCATCGGTGGATGAAAGGAAATATCGATAAAAGTATTTAAAAAAAAAGAGGGAAGTGACAGAGAGAGAGAGAGAGAAAAAAAAAGGATTTAAATTTCGAGTAGCATCGGTTAATTGGAAAAAATGGAAAAGGAGGGGGGGGAGGACAGACTCGAAGACAGAAGGGGGGCGAGACACGAGAGAGATCGTGACGCGCGTGTAGGTATTCGAGTCGCGGGCGTGCAGAAACTCGAAGCCAAGGAACTTCACTGCTCGATACTTGGAAAGTGTAAAGACAGGCCCAAAGGACATATAGCTCTTGTCTCTTAATAGAATCGAGCCGAGTAGGTATCGTGGCCGTCCCTCCAAGGGGAACGGGGGGGTTTCGTGGCCGGAACGAAGCGGCAACAAGCCCAAACTCCTTTTAGGAAACCCCTAACCGAATTTACTCATCGATCGGCTATTAAACTGAGTTAAGGAGCTGGCTGCCGATTCCGCTCCAAGGAATATATATCCACCTCGAGAAACTTTAAGACGTTGCTGAAAATCTGACGTCGTTTGTCGTTGAGGGACAAAGGGATTCTGTCTCTCGTCGCCGTGCCCGCGATAACGAGACCGCTCCACGTCTTCGATTTCCCCGCGCCAAACTTTCTCAAAGCTGCCCCGTCGAATAATTCCCGTCCTATCTCCAAGCGAAACGAAAATAGCCTATTACGAAACGAACGGAAGAAACCCTTTCCCGGATGGGAATCGGGCGAAAAGTTGCGATACCTTCCTTCGGGAAACAGATAATATAACGATCGAATGGACGAACGACATCGGCGTTCAAACGTCGCCTCGACTCGAGAAGGAGATGATTCAAATCTCGTGGAATAATCGTTTGCCAATTTTACTAAACGTAACGAGAAGCTCTCGAGTTGTTCTCGGGCCTCTCCTCGGGAGAGATTCG